TATAATATAATATAATATAATATAATATAATATAATATAATGTAATATAATAACACAATAATAATAATAATAAAAATCAATGCTTAATAGCGCGAAAATAAATTATCATATGCGAGCATCACTCTCGCAAAATTGAATTTCCTCTTTGAGAAATATCGTTCAGTCGTATAATAATTAATAATTATAATTAAAAAAAGAATTTCTCTTATCTTACTCGAGACTCGTTCGTTCTCTAACATTTTCCCACCCCTTTCCCACTCTTTTGCACCACAGAGAAAAAAAAACAAAGAAAATTTGAAATCATAGTATTTGTAAATAATATTGTAAAAGAATTAGCAGATTTTTTACTAGAAATGTTTTTACTAATATTTTTTATTCTGGGAAGTATACAGCGATTGGCACAAGAATGCGTAAAATTGATATTTTATATTTGTGTAAAGAAAATGCGTATTAAACCTTTTTTCTGAGAATGGACTCACTCATTTGCATTTAGGAATTCATCTGAGTCCCTTCATAGACCACGTTGCAGTTTCATTTACTGGATATATAAAATTTATATTCATATATATTTCAACCAAGTTGAACAATCATTTTAAAATTCATTAAGAACCAAGTGATTCAACAACACTGTTATAAATAAATGTACATATAGAGCAATAATTCTTGGAACATCGTGATATTTATTAATCTTCTGCAATTCTGTGTGTCTAGCATGATTTGAATAGAATAGATATCATTCTAATAAGTTTGGCTGGACAAATGATTTTATCCCAATAGATTCATTATGAAAATAAATACGGATAATAGCTTAGGGACAGCATAATTATTAATTAGGGATCACGAAGGGTTAATAAAAGTCACTGAATTAGCGGCCCGTGTAATGTAATATAATTATTGTAATATAATATAAATATAATAATCTTAAACGTCTCGATGTTTATAATATTTAAGGATTAAACTCTCTCTGAAACTTATACCATTATTGTGGACATTATATCTCTATTTGTTGCTGTTGTTAAATGAAATTCCATTTTTATCAAATTCGTGTCATTTGCTTTTTAAACATTCTTCTGTCCGCCACTTGTACATATTTCAATTTAAAAATAGTACATATATCCAACTTCTTCAGTGAATTCTCTTCACGAAGACGGAAATCGGTATAATAATCGTGCAAATAATCGGTCGAATTTGCATTAAAGGAAACGAGAAACGAAAGAGATAAAGAGATATTAACACTAGAACTATTGAAATAGTCGAAACGACCAATTTATAAGTCTTGAATGACTTTTCCTTCTCTGTTGTATAAATTTCTGTTTTTTCTTAGTGTCTCTGATCTGAAATATCAGATGTTGATCGGTAGTTTCAGTTTTAAAGAAGCGAAGGCAAGAGCAAAGAGGAAGGGAACGTGTCGAGAAATGAGAATTAACAAACTTCTTTCAACATGTTGTACGCTTCGGTGCGATGTTCTCGTTTCACGATTTTTTTCGATCGCAAGAAAAAGAAAAAAAAA